CGTTATTGCGATATACCATTTACTGTTCATTTGCTTGTTTAGTATTGCTGCTTCTTTAATTAGTACGTTAGGCGAGTTTATTGCGCGGTTGTAGTATTTGATCATTTGTTTTGTATAAATAAATGTAGCGGATATTCACCCAATTCTCCGTATATTGCCATTATGGGAGTGTTTCTCATGATACCGAGAATAAATCTGCAGAAATGTAAATGGATATCTTCAACTTCCGATTTATAAGAACTCTCATGGCCCCATATGTCAGAATAGGTCTTACGAGCCTATGGAATAGGAACATCAATGTTTTTATATTTATATTAGGATTTTGTTCTCGTTTCCCAATTAAAGTGAACATGGCCTTTTGACCTTTATGTTTTAAGTTTTTTATGGCTTCTTTGAATTCCCCATGATACCAAGATAATTGATTTTTTTAACAATATCAATTTCTTTGCTTTCATAGAAAAATATGTTATCTTCTAATAGTCTGTTCGATTTGTTGACAATTACATTGAAGATCAGCAACATTTTGTGATGGGTTGTACCTGAAATTGTTTTCAGATGGTGGAAAAATAATGATAAATTTTAATTCAAATAAATTTGAATACCTAACGGGTAGCAATGAAGCAACACAAACCTTAGTTTGGTTTGTCACGGCCTTATTTAATTTTTCTTTGTTTCTTTTTTCGAATACGTGTTACGCAAACAATAACTGACAACATTATTAAGAAAATAATAAAGGTCACGTCACCGTGACGGTTACGTTATCAACGCGAATGTCGTCAATGTTGAAGGCAACCAACGTATCGTTTGGACAAAACATTTGCAACATCTTATTGCCATTCAGTGTATTTTTTTAAAGGAAATTGCGTGACATTGTTTGCCATCAAACTGTGGGCTGCCATGGTATCCTAATTGTTATACATCACTTTGTGCATTCAACTTATTTTTTTCAATAACAATCTCGGCATGTATATTGATTTTTCAGAATGTTAATATTATTAGTAATATTAATATCACTACTACTAGTATTCACTAGCACTAGTCAACGCGTGTATTGTTTTCTACCTACTTTAACTTTTAACTTTTATAAAAAGTAGATTAGGGATGGACCATTATAAACTTTTAGAGGGGCGTTGTAGGAAAACTGTGCAATATTATTTTTTCCAATGATGAATTTGCTGTTAGTTGTTATGCACCTTGTGAAATATTTTTCTTTATATATCTTTTAATGGTCGATCCATTACATGTAATTTAAAACCCCTTTTTAAAAAAGCTATGTATGTGTCATGCCATACGAAGATAAATGACATTCCATATATGAGATGTAATAATTGGCATAATTAACTTCCCCCTTTCTCGAATTGATACACAATCGACAAATATAATCCGCCGATTATTATTGGGAGGAGATTTCTGTCAAGGTTTCATAAAAAACAAACACATACACACAAAACAAACGTTTGCGGTTCGAACATCCATGGCATTTCTAGGAATGTGACCTATTTCAGGAACGCATATTTCATTGGATAAAAATGATTTGTTAAACACGGAAGTTGAATTGCTAGCGATAAATTGCATTATCTTCCTAAATTTGGTGCAGGTGCGCGAATTGTTCAACTATTTTAGACCACAAGTAACTTCATGATTGGATATTGTTTATACCAATTCAAATACTCAGTAAATTTAACATTATTCTTCGTATAGTATATGTTGTAACCGAAACATAAACATTCAAATGAAGGCATGGCGATCTCATTATACGGTAACATGCGTTTTCTGCACAAATTATAAACACATTACACATCTTAAATATTCTCAAGCGGGAAGTGTAACAAGAAATAATAGTACGATTGTTTGGTTGAAAATGATCTTTTGCGAGTCTATCTTACCGATGCATCTTCTACCACAAATTAAGGATCAAAATATACCGGAAAATGCACCAGTGTATAAACGCAGGACTGGACAATAAAATGTGTTTTGTACACAGTAATGTCAAATAAGATGATGTCAACTAACACTCCACACTAGTTAGACTCTTCAGGCGTAATTTGTTAGTATACTGAATCGACAAACGGCGAAGGCGTTTTCAAAAAATACCACAGGCATTTCAGCGAAGGCCTGCGACATTTCTTGCAAACGCCTTCTGCGAATTGAGTATTCTCGGGGGCGGAGCTACGTCACAAGACGTTCCACGTTGCTAAGACGCGCACCACTGTACATGCATTTCTATGGGCTCTTTTCGCGCTGCTGTGGAACGCCGGTAGAGCCGGTGAAAATTCGAGAAAACAACACAAACTCAACTTTGAAGTAATCCTGAACAACCAAATTTAAATATGTTACACACGTAGGGCTAATCTTGTTATACTGTCCAGGGGAGTCTCAACCACCATCCCTAAGTACCGTTTTCTGAGAGTTTTTGGCCTTTGTTTTCACCGCCAGGGTTGCCAAGCGGTGAAAATGCCCGGATGTCCGCCCCCGAGGATATCAACAAACCAGACCTGAGGATTGTCGACAGTCTAAACACTAATACACATTTGTTGTTAGTTATACCATTGACAATGTATACAAGTTGTTATACCATGCTGATATGGAAGGATTATTATTAAAAAGAGTCACGCGAATCGCGAGATCACAAAATCGCAGACTTATAAATTTTGGAAATTCTAGTGGAAATAAGTTATTGAATACTACCACTCTTCATCTAATAAATCCTTGATACAAACTCCGTGAAGAAGTTGGTGCACTAAAAACAAGGAAGTCTTTTCACCCTTAGTTGGGGAATATTTTGGGAAAGATAATCGTTTGGGCAGCACATCACTTAAAAACTTTACTGTGTTGAGTGCACTGGAATACACACGGTGTCACTCATCATGCCAATGGGCCTCAATCGACGAAATATACAACCATTACACTTGAAATCACGCGCATATAAATGGGAACATTGCCCAAAGACGAGCGGGAAACTTTGACCCCGACAACGATTGAGAATACTGAACATTTCTGACGGATACTTTGTTATACAGAGTATCATCATACAATTTTTCAGTTCAAACCGAGGGAAATGAAGACTCCAATACACAACATATTAATAATCATGATTTTATTTTTTTTATTATATACTCTGTACTTTTGTCCAAATTGTTAATACCTAACACATCATGTCTACACAAAATAAAATAGAGTTAAAAGAAAAAAAAAATGCCAGTGACATAGTTACGATTTTATCGCACGCTACACTTGATCGACCGCTAGAGGGCAGTAGTGTTTGACACGCTGCCGTCATTGCACCTCGATTTACAAACCAGGTACAACAATAAGAAATAAATACATTTGAAAGTCTACATCAATGTTGCTTTTTTCCAAGAGCACGTGACACAATACACGTGACATAAAGAGTTATACAAACTAGACATTGTTATTTTTTTCGGTCTCAGGCGAATTGAACAGTCGGTTAAAAAAATCTCCCCATGACATTTAGTTCACTTCCGGTTATAAAAAAAAACTGACGCGAGGCAATACATGGCCACGTTAAGTACTTTCATTTCAAAGCAATGTTATTTTGAAACAAATTGTTCTATTTAAGAATGATATCATCCCAGGGTATATCCTCGTTCCCAACAACATATACTGTTGAACGAATTAAAGTAAGCAATTTAGCATTTAAGTATATGTATGACCAATATTTTGAGAAAAATATATAAGTTATGTCGAAAATCAAGTTTTTTTTTTCTATAAATGCAATGGTAACAAGTTTTGGGCTGGTCGGACACCTCAATGGCTATTTGCCACGTGGTCGGACCCCTCAAGTGGGCTATTTGCCACGTGGTTGGACCCCTCAAGTGGCCCATAACTAACTTTGGCCTACAAAGAATACTTTATATGCGTCACCTCGTTTTTTTGTGTACGTACAGACTGACCATAAAATGGCAATTCACATTTTTAAGTTACCATGGTTACAAACCATCCTAAACATATATTGGCGACGTTCACAACACTGACGACTAAGACTGGACAAAGGCCACTCCAGGAAACCTACACTTATTTGTTGACAAGACACCATTATCACACACACATACACACAATATATACTTATATTCGCCTTCCTCCATTTGTTTTGTCAGTTTTGTGTCGGCTAGTGGTTTTTTAAAAGGGTTCTAAACGATTGTGATCAATACAAAACTAGTAAGCTTACGCTCTACTATGTCACATGACATTTTGAGGCGGAAACTTATAAAATTCTAAACGACAAACACAATAATATTGGTACCACGACAGAGTCATATATATATAGTGTATTAAGTTATTGTCAACATGGAATTCATGTTTGCACAAAATTAAAAAATAAACACAAAAAATAGTCTTAATTCATTTCTCTTTTCTGTTTGATTTGATAATCAATTCCACACAGGACGTTTTGGAATGCAAAAAAACAATCAAAGAGAGTGCTGGACATATTGCACATGCGCAGTGATTGTGAGGCTAATATTCATCCAGCAGACCATCAAACCGTATCTAGAGTTCAACAATACTATGTTGATTGTCTTAAATTAATTTGTCTACGTAGTTTGTTAGCTCAAAGTCAAAGTTTGTTGAGCACGTCCACACTCAAGTTGCGCATACGCTTACCCAATATAGCATAAGTTTTATCATATGCAAATTATATGCAAATTTAGATTGAAACCCAGAAAGAAACATAGTTGAAAGGTCAGAATGTGCGTTCTCTTACTGGCAACCCTTGGAGTCATGTGAATGAATAATAACTCACTGTTCGAAAGGATGAAATTAAGCTGTGCTGTTGTCATAGCGATGGTGTATCATAACAGTTACTACACAGTTTGCAGCGGAAAAGAATCGGTTATGGTTGCTAAGCAGTGCACTCATTAAAATCATCCCGATAAAAGTCACTCCATTTGCAGCGTTCAAAGCAATTACAAACAAACAAACAATCAATTCTCAATCGTATAAGCTGAGAATGTCACATGACACTAATAATGTTCATTTCTTAGCCTCGCTATGACTGCGCACGTGCACGCAATATTTAATAATTATGGTTCCTATTATATCCGAATATCGCAGACGGAATTTTCGGCAGATCTCGGGTCAGAGGTCAAATATCTCGATGGCACCCGAATACAGTGCATAGTTGCCCTCGCATGGTGAAGGCATCCCAGCATGCTCGTCACCTGCATGCTCACGTGACAACAACTAGACCACATCTTGTTTCCTATTTTCTTCTGAGCCAGTTTTATCATTACTGTTTTTGTTGGAGTTCGTGTCCATTTTAGAACCAGCTGAGTGCTGTGTGGTAACACTGGGGAACGCTTTCTCTTGGTATTTCAACATCTCAGTAAAGTAATTCTGTATCGCTGTGAGTGCGGCACACATTGCAGGCGTGCCGAATCCATGTGAAATGAGACTGAAATGTGTCAGACATCGTTGAATAGCAGGATCCAAAATCACTTGTGGTCTTGTGTTACCTAAAGGTGAGCGATCTTGACTTAAAACATCTTGAAGTTCCTTACACAGTTGCCTGGAAATAAACAGATAGATTAATGTCAGTAAACAAACAAACAAATAAATAACTAAATAAATAAATAAATACATAGTCAGCGCACCCACATAAGGTAATTTCACCCACAATCAGTAATAAACCCACTCTGCCCAGAAAGGGTCAGTAGTTAACCCACTCCACACAGTAAATTGAAATATTTACCCTCAGAAGGTATACTAGTGAACACATGTACCCATAAAAGGTCTGTCATACACCCAAAAGAGGTACCCAGCAATATTCAAGAAGTCGTCGCTTCTATCAAAGGAAAGCTACCCAAAGCTATCCAGATTTACTTACTTGGCTGCTAAGGTCATGTTTCTTCTAGTTTGCTGTTCGGTGGGATCTGAATGTTGTCTAGCTAAATATTCGGCCAACTGGCGGGATGGAAATTCAGTTTCACTCACATAACCAAAATCACGTGCTAAGTGTACGGCTTCACCTAGAAATAGACGAATTGGGTTAAGTACGTCATAACATTAGCAACAATGTCACAGTGATGGAACACCCAACTACACTGAGTTTACTAGTGAGACGGTACTTTATCACTCGATCGCCCTCATCGGACATCCATATATCAACATAGTCCCAGCAGTATTTGTACAGAAAGAAACAAAAAAAGTCCTTTCAACTGGAACTGTAAATAAATAAACCGTTGATATGCAGTACAAGGGGACGGAATGCATCGATTTTTAAAGTGTTAATACTCTTACTATTACTTAAGTCAAACGATGATGGCCTCAACGTGATCACTTTCTGTGATCCCAGTAGACATATTTTATTTGATTCTCTGGTGACGTGACTGGGATGCGGCGTAGTTTGATATCTATGTTTTTTACTTACAATATGTGTTACTGGCAAATAGACAATTATAGCAAGGAAAGCTGTGGGAGCAATCTATAACACCAACAATTAAAGAAACTCACACCAACTATAGGTGTGTGCGTGATCTGAATTCTAAACACTGTTTATGCCTTTCTCGCATTATGCGTTAATTTAATGAATACCCGACGCGTTGAGAGATACGTATATTGTCGACGAGCGCTCGCTGCTTGTCCGTTGGATGAAAGTACGGTAATATCCACCAAACATCTGTCTTATTTACAAGTGCTCGAGTTCTCTTAATGGTTTAGGAAAGGGCGGATTTTCTCTACCGCATTGGTGTCATTACTTGCGTAAGCATTTCACAGATAAGAAAACGATTGCAAACTTTTATCGATAAATCGTTATCATTATATTCACTGTATTCAATCTATACCACGGGTCCTGAAAACTGCGAGGCTGGAGAAAAAAAAAAAACGAGCAGGATGGATTTATTGACATTATTCCATACATTCAATCCAATGCCAGCGAAATGACGAGTGGGCCCTCTAATCAGTAATGTAAACCTAGTTATTATCTCTGCACAATTTACCACAAAACAACCCGTCCTTTCTCGTATTTAATTTCATACCTGCCTCGCTGTCCCAATCTAATATCTGTCAAATTCATTTATGGAAGCACGGACAGCCAGGCTGAGGTGATATGCTTCCAATAAAATAACTTATACTAACGTATTTTAGCTGGAGAGTTTTTATCTCCGTTTCATGAAGATCAATTAACATATAAATGAAGGAGCGGGGTCAAGGGTTACTGTACGCACGCACACACATTGTATTTGCGTAAAGTACAGTATTATTTTTATTTACATTTCCTTCACGCTATTCCCCGATGTACGAGGTGAATATTAAATTAATTTTACAACCACTTCGCGCACGATATATCGTGAAAAACTATATCCAATTTCCTCAATATCAGTACATACAGACACATGTTATGGATACAACTCGTTTGGACATCATGTTTATTCAGTTATACTCGAAAAAAGCCACAGAAAGCCATCAATATGGTCCGCTGTCTGTCTAGATTGCCGAGTATATAGCTGATCAAATTATGGATATAAAAATATTAGAATTTCAAAAATTCACCTCTATACATTTAGCTATATCACCACATGCCAATAACGTGGTTCGCTTCACTGATTTCTAAATTCAATTGTTTAAAGAGTAAAAACGCTAGTATAATGCGCACTAATATGCTGTCATATTATAGCTTTTTCTGAATTTCCATATATATATATTATTTTCCATCTCAATTTCCAGACCATGCCTACCAGGATGGAAAAGATCGAGACTTACTCTCAATTTTGTTCCAAACTTTTATTAATTTTCTTTAAAACACTAGAATGGAGTACGTTGATATAAAAAACAAACAAAAATAATGTGTTGTGTCGATGCCAATTACAATACAATTATTACCGCAGAATACAACGAAAATGTAATCTTTCTATTTCAACGTATATCACATGTTCTTAATTCCATACAGAGTGTAATTGCTGACGTCATAGCAGCAAAGAACACATCTGATGCAATTTAAGCATAGACAAACACGTTCACTGAGACAATAAGTCTATATACAATTAAATGTGAAACATAATATTAATATTTCTCGAATATTTGAAGAAGATAATTTATTATTCACTAGAGATTGGTATTGCATATAACATGATGCAATAAACACTACTGTAATAGTAGTCTAAACACAGACAATAAACACTACTGCAATAGTAGTCTGAACACAGACAATAAACACTACTGCAATAGTAGTCTGAACACAGACAATAAACACTACTGCAATAGTAGTCTGAACACAGACAATAAACACTACTGCAATAGTAGTCTAAACACAGACAATAAACACTACTGCAATAGTAGTCTAAACACAGACAATAAACACTACTGCAATAGTAGTCTAAACACAGACAATAAACACTACTGCAATAGTAGTCTAAACACAGACAATAAACACTACTGCAATAGTAGTCTGAACACAGACAATAAACACTATTGCAGTAGTAGTCTGAACACAAACAATAAACACTACTGCAATAGTAGTCTGAACACAGATAATAAACACTACTGCAATAGTAGTCTGCACACAGACAATGAACACTATTGCAGTAGTAGTCTGAACACAGACAATAAACACTACTGCAATAGTAGTCTGAACACAAATAAACACTACTGCAATAGTAGTCTGAACACAGACAATAAACACTACTGCAATAGTAG